AAAGAAAGACCATGTGCTTATTTTATTTTGTCTATTTTATATTTATCTTTTTAAAATGACAATGGAGGTAGTTTATTACAACCATTTTTTTTTTAATTTTCTGTCATTAACATCAGTCAGCATAAATTTAATTAATATTAAAATATATTTTATTTATTATCGATTTATTAAATGTTAAATTTAATAAACTTTAAAATAAAAACATACAAATTCAAATTTTTAGGGTGTTGTGATCTCTTATGTGAATGGCCTTGCCACCAACTCACTATTGAATATTTTTAATGTATCCCTTTAATTGATTTTTTTAAAAAAATGTATTATATAACTATCTTCTTTTTAAATACTTTTTATTTGAAACAAGATTAGACATTAAACATAAATATATTTTAATAAAAATTCAAACATTACTACTACACATCACGCTTAGATATTAGTTAATTATATAAAAAACTGTTATTTTTCTTAATAATAACTCAACTAATTTTTTTATTAAATCCTTTCAACTTTCCAAACACGTTGATAATAATTAACAAGAATTTTAAGTGAAGGAAAATAATATAACAGTAAGTTTAATATTTTTATCTTAATTTAAAATTGTAAACTAGTATAGTTTTTAAACTTTTTTTATATTTTCCTTTAAAATCCAATTACTTGTGAAATTTTTCTATGCTTATATATTTTCTTTTTACTATCCATCACATGGTCCATAATAAATTTCTTAAGTTTAAAAAAGGTTATATTGGCTCAAGCTAATGTTGTTAAGTGTGGATACTATCATAGGCATTGATGATCATGGGTTCATCAAATGGAATTCACATGAATGGTGGCAAGGGAGAAAGGAGCTATGCAAACAACTCCTTATTTCAAGTATATATATTTGTTTCATTTATATAAGTTTGTAACAATATTTTATATATAACATACATTTTTTCTTTTTCTTCTATACGTTCATCTAGCTATTTGATTTTGATTTATTGCAGAAAAAATTGATGCTTAAAGCCAAACCTATACTTGAAGAAACTGTAACGATACTGTATCAAGATTCCTCTCCAAAATGCATCAAAGTAGCAGATTTAGGTTGTTCCGTAGGACCAAATACACTTCTTGTCACATCAAATATTATTGACATTGTTGATGCTACGTGCACTTGCATGAATATTGAACTACCGACATTCCAATTTTATCTCAATGATCTGTTTGGAAACGATTTCAATACCATCTTCAAGTCACTTCCTGATTTCTATGCAAAATTGGTACAAGAAAAGGGTCAGAAGTTTGGTTCCTGCTTTATCAATGCTACCCCTGGATCCTTTCATGGCAGGCTCTTTCCTGATGATTCTGTAGACTTTTTTCATTCTGCCAACAGTCTACACTGGCTCTCTCAGGTCAAATCAACTATTTTTAGCATATTTAATCCAAAAAAATAAAATGGTATTATTATAATGAAAACATAATGTTTGAGTTTATATATTTATTTATCATATTTTGGTTATAGGATCCGTTAATGGGATTAAGTAAGGAGGCAAAAGAACTTAATAAGGGAAACTGCCATATAGTTAGCACAAGCCCACCAGACGTACACAAAGCATACCAGAAGCAATTTCAACAAGGTTTTAAACTGTTTCTGAAATCACGTTCAGAGGAACTTGTGCCTGGAGGAGCAATGGTTTTAGTGCTACCTTGCACTTGCAAAACTGAAACTCTTTCAAAAAGTCTTTGGGAAGTAATTAGCCTAACACTCAATGACATGTTCTTGGAGGTAAATAACATTTTCTTTTGAGTTACCAATATTTGTCCTTCATGTATATAATTAACAGGTATATATATTATACTGTAGGGTTTGATTGAAGAAGAAAAATTAGACTCTTTTAACATACCAACATATGAACCTACGATTGAGGAGATCAGAGATTTGATTAAGGAACAAGAGTCGTTGTTTGTTCAAAGGTTAGAAGTTTTCACAGTGGCTAGGGATGAAGGTATAAGTGAACGTGGAGATTATTGTTTTCTTGATGGAGGTATAAGAGCTGAGTTCATAGCTACATACACAAGAGCTGCAATGGAGCCTATTCTATCTGCAAAGTTTGAGGTACAAGTTATAAACGAATTGTTTATCAGGTTTCAAAGGAAACTTGTGCAACTAATGGAGGTGGAGAAATTTGAGACTGCTAATGTGATCATATCCATGACAAAAGTTGTTTGAGCAAGTATTTCTCAACGTAATAAGATCATCTTATAAGAAGTATTTTTTTCTTCTCTGTTTTGATTTCGTGAATAAAGATAGGGTATTCGAAGATGATACTCTTGTTGAAGCTTAAGACTTGTATCAGAAGTGTGCAGAAAAATGCCTGGGCAGAGCATGAAGCATATATACGTTTATGAGAATGTATATAGTATATATTTGACCCTTTTGTTGTTCTAATTGTGTGAAGTCCAATTGATAAATTTCTACCTTTTAGTGTCTTCCTTGATGGTTAAATTCGACAAAGACCACTTAGGCTACACAGAAAATTAAAGAGTCAATAGCTAAAACTTTGCCGCTTTGCCTTAGAAATTCATCAAGCAAACCAAACAAATTTAAATATTGTCAATACATTCTTCAATATTTCTTCTTCAAATAGCATGTATTTTATCTTTAGATTCTTATATCAAAGTGGATTAAAGCGACCTTTTTCAAATAAAGTTGTATAAGTTTAACTCTTATATTAAATAGAAAATGATTTATAATTAAATTATATATATTGTATAAGATTGAGATTATCTTGACTAGTACCGAGTTGAGATGATCTTGTCTGGTACCACAATGGCATGTTGAAACTTAGCTTAGAGTAAAAACATAGTGATTATGTGTAAATGATGTTCATATCAACATAATTAAATTAATAACAAGTCTATTTGTACATTCATAAGTATTTATTATAATAAATATTTAAACTTTTCTCAAATAAGCCAAAGTAATTAATAAGGACCACAAGTATATAAGGTGATTCATTTCAAAGTAAAAATATGGAAAATATCTTTTTAATAACTTTTTTTAACAATTTTTTTACAACAATCTATGTCGTAGCATGTGATTGGTTCGTTTCAAGTATACGGACCAATAAAATAGTGACCCATAGTATTGTCAAAAAGTTGTTAAAAAAATTGTTAAAATATCAAGGTCCAATTAAACTAGTCACCTATATTACTTTTGACTTGAACGTAAATATCAAAATTCTCAATCATTTTAAGTGTGTGGGAAAGAGATCTAGACTACATCAACTTTTTAATTTATTTCTTTGTTGAAAAATTACAACTATCTTTATTGAACTCAATTAGGATCCAAAGAGTGAAAATAATGATTGTTTGAATTTGAGAACTTTTAACTAAATAGACTCCTATAAGTTCAAAATGCATTTAAAGTTTAAGACATTTATTAAAAAGTAAGTTTAAATGTAATTTTTTCTTATACAACCAAGTTTGACTTATAAAATCATCAATATATTAAAAAACATATTTAAACTTAACTCATAATTATGAAATTAATTTATAAAATAAAGTTTAACTTCACTACTATACTATAAATTGTTTTTATCTATAATAACATAAATATCCAAGAATATTTTAGAATTACTTTTACTTTATAATTAGGGTAGTTTTTCTTTTGGTTGATTAGTTAGCTCCATTACTTCATTTAAAACAGAAAAGGAAAATTTGTTTCTAAACATATGTAAAATCCTTCATTTTGTTATTTTCTTTTCAACCATGTAAAAATATATATATTTTGTTTTGTTTTCTAATGTATGTGAGTAAAACCGTGCTTTGAGGAAATGTTGCTCTAGAAAAGATTTTATATAAACTAGTCTTTCCTTCGTCATTATAGTTTCTTTGTGACTCACTAAAAATAGAAAAAGAAATTATTAAGGACTAAAAATAAAATATATATTTTATTTGGGTCAGAAAAATGTGTCAGTTTTATTCAGTTGTTTTTTTTTCGATGTATCACTTAATAGAAAGTTATTTAACATATAAGTAAAAACCAATATATATATATATATATATATATATATATATATATATATATATATATATATATATATATATATATGAATGACCAAAATGAAAGAATTATTTATATCGAGGATCATATACAAATGCACAAGGAAGAAAAAAGTTATTTTATTTAAAATTAAATTAATGTGTTTTAATTTTACACATTAAAACTTATTTTGCATGTTTAAATCAAAGCATGACACACTTTAAGATATAAATAATACAAAAATTATTTTCTACGCTCAAAGAATTAATTTGTTTAAACTTAAAGTAAATGATACTTAAATAATTTTTTAATTGCGAAAGAAAATAATATTTACTAATTGAAATAAATAAAAAATTATTCTAAAATAAATAAATAAAATAGAACAACGCAAAAAAAAATCTATTTAATTTGTCAAATTATTTTAAGAAAATAAATACTGATTCGTAGTCTCATCTTTTAAAGTTGTTAAATGATGGTTGAAATAAAAGGCTACCACGCCCCAAGCTTCCCGAAGCTTGTCACCCGCCGTCAAAAGCATAACGAGTTTCGCTGAATTCAACCCAAATGTGTTGTAATAATAATAGTGGTTTAATATTCATTGACTCCGTAAAGAAAAACATTTAATTCTCTCATTTCTGATTTAACTTTTTTATAAATTACTTATTATATATTTTTCGTTTTTTTTTAAAACAATTTTCTATGTGTAATAAAATAAAAAATAATTTTGTGATTAAAAAAGATTATATTAAAACACATAATCTTATTATGAAAATATAGGGTTTGAAAATTAAGAAAAAAAGAAAAGAAATACTCAATTTTCTTGTTGAATGCAAATTTATGCCGTGTCTAAGAAAGCAATTTAATTTTTTTCTCAACATAGCCATTTATTATCGTAGATAATGGAAACTAAAAGAAAGAAAAAATGTTTTAAATATTATTTTATTAATATTATTATGAAGAAGAATAAGTTGAAAACGAAGGAGTTGGTCCAAAAATTGCATTTGTAAGGAAACGAAAAGGCAGGATTCGATAGACAGGAAGGCGAGATCCAGCAGAAATTGCAGTGCGCGCTCTTCACCAAATCACGGATTTAACACCGTCGATTCAAATCCCCTTCCAAACCCCAATTCTTCTCATTCAACCATGTGGGGCACAATCGCCAACTTCAAGGAGAATTTGAACAAGATCGCCCTCGACGTTCATTACGCCCACGATGACGACGATGACGACGACCAACACCACGTCGTCAGCCCCGCCGTCTCCGATCGCCGCAATTCTCACACCTTTGCCCATTCCAATTCGCTTTCCAGCTCTCCGCCGCCCAATGGAATGTCCGATCACCCCTACGCTTCTGAGGTGCGTTCTCCTCAAATTCTCTGCGTTTTTGTTTGCTTTTTAGATACCATATTCGAAAGTCGCGTGGAACATTGCAATATTAGCTAGCGACTTGCGATTGTGAATGCTTTAAGAGGTTTTTAATGGCGGACATTTCGTATTTGAAGTCAGAGTCGAAGCAGGATAGCAGCAGGTCGTTGCGTTTAATTTAGGATTGGTGTCACTGAACCCTAGGTGTGTGGTGGTCAAATTAAGAACTGTAAATAATTACTGTTCATCGCCTGTTCTATATGAGATGATGAAATATTAAAACAGAAGGTCTTTGAATACGAGCAAGTAAAATTCCAATGATGAACTTACATGGACTCTGACTTCCAACACAGTGTATCCAGTATACAAGTGGATGAAAAGGAACATTGTAGGGTCTATTGATACTTCTGATCCTTAATTTGATATCATCGTGTTCCGTCCGTGAGGGGGTGTGGGAAATAGCTTTTAAGGCAAATACTAACAGAATTGCTAGCTCTAGTAGAATATTGGCCATGGTTCCCTGCTTCATGTGTGTACATTGTAGTCTATCTGGTGTTGGAAGGTTCTCGATGACGTACATTCGAGGCCCAGAGGATGGATCTTTGGTCATTAAATCAATGCATTGGCTTACTTTCCAATATAAGCCCCAATACATTAGAGAAGGATACATAACAAGTTTATATTAAATCAACTGGCTCCAAAATTGATAGACAGTGTTGAAGTTCTCCTACTCATCAGTCCTGATTTTTGTGTAATGTGTAGGTTGAGTTCCAAAACTTGTTAATATTTGTTTTGGCGTTGCCCATCCGCATCCTCTATGGAATAAATCGTTTGGTCTTTTTGATGAAAACTGGATGATTCTCGTTGACCTTCAAAAGCTCATGTATGCTAATTCATAGGATTTATTTATAGCCAAGATCCAAAAGCTTTTGGGTGTTCTCAGACTGGGTTTCTGTGGTTGTTTGGCTGGAAAGAGATGATAAAATCTTGTCAGATGACACTCTTCCATTGAGTTTTCTTATAAAGTAAACTTTAAACCTAACTCTTCCTCATAAAATTAACTTATAAGGTAGGATTTACACCCCACTTGTGTACTATAATTGAACATATCTCAGTATGGGATCTCCAACACACTCACACATGTTGAGGACATCAAATGTTGGATTAGAGGGAAACCCAATATTGGATGGCATGATAGACCCTAAAAATTTCAATAGGATGGGCATTGATAGGCTTTGATTCCATCTTGTGAAAGTGTATTTTAAGCTTAATTGAACTTCACACTTGTAAGGTGAAATTTGTTCCTCACTTATATACATTACTTTGGCCATATCTCTAGTAGATGGGAGATTTACATCTTATCTCCTCAAGCCTAGGACATCAAACATGGGAATAGAGGAAAACGCAATATCAAGAATTTTATAAAGGTGAACTTTTAACCTAAATCAACCTTATAAAACCAAATTGTAAGGTGATAATGTAGCTTTGGAATAAAGGGGGGTGTCTGATAGCAGGTAGTGCAACAGGCCCAACAAATCTCATTAAGATTGACTCTAATACTTTTAGATATCTTAGATTATTAGATATCTTATATTTATTTTTATCTTCAATTACTTATCTTCTGTTATTTTGTTATTATTATTTAGTTTGTATTTTGAGCTTAATCCATATTTCCTTCATTATAAATAAAATATCCTATTTGTATTTTCTATACAAGAGAGATTAATCTTATACATAGTTTTTCACTATATTCAATATGGCATCAGAGTCATTTTAGAGTTAGAACTTATCCTAGCGAGATTTGTTATTTGCTAGACATATTGTTCTACTCGCTATCGGGCCGTTCTTGGATCACTCATTAATGTCTAGTTTCATGCTCGAAATGTATGTAACTCGGCATGAGGGGTATGTTGGAATTCTCACATTGGTTAGAGATAAAGCCAGTTTGAAGTTAAAGTATATAAGTGGATGCAAACCTCATCTTACAAGTCGGTTTTGTGGGGTTAAGTTTGGTTTAAAGTCCATTTTTAACATGATATAAAAGCAAATTATTAGCTAAATTCACACTTTCTCTCATGGAGAGTGTCTTCAACACACATTCAAGCTCTTTCCATCCACTGTCTGATAAGCAAGATCTCATTGCTGTACGTGTGGTTTTATGAACACCACTTTTACCTAATTCATTTATTTAGTTCTTGAGGATTTCTTATTTCCTTTTTGTATCCTTCTTTATATATATTTAATCCTTTTCACCTATACAAAAACACTAGCATTTGCGAATTTTCTTTTACCTAATACAGGGAAGTGTTACGTATTCAAATTCAAATTATGTGCCATACATTTCCCCTTGAATTGTGGAGTAGAATACAGTAAGAGGTCGATTTTGTTTTGTGGTTAAAGATTTCATTTTTTAATTTTATATTATTTCTTGTAGATAGAACAATATAAAGCAGAAATCAAGAGACTTCAAGCTTCTGAGGCAGAAATTAAAGCACTATCGGTTAATTATGCAGCTATATTAAAAGAAAAAGAGGTATATCCCAGGTTATTAGTTTTCTACATATATGTACCTGTAGTATGTTGAATTTTCTTTTGCTGTTTCTTATGTTGAACTGTTGGAGCTACTTAGTGTTCAACTATTAATAATTTTCTCTATAAAAACTTATAGTAGGAAAAAATGATAAAAAAACATGGATTAAACTTCTCCTATAAGCTAATTTGTAGAAGTCTTCCCGAGCTAATTTTAGCTTATGGGAAGGGTTTAGGGTTTAGGGTACAGGAAGTGCTCCAACCTATTCTCAAATAATATCCTTTGTAAATCTTCTATATCATCTAGTCCACCTCATATTCATCTCCACTACACTTAATTTTTTCTCGTATCAGCACTTTTGCTAAACCCTCACTGCTATGGAGCACTGTAGTGTTGTAGCTATCTGATATAATTTTCTTGAGATTTATTGGAAATTTTTTGTCCACAAATTATAATTAACTTTTTTTCAATCTCATCCACCCAACTTGAATACTGGATTATGATTAATCTTTTTTTTCCATTACATTGTAAGATGGATCCATGGCACACTGTAATTTCCAATTTGGATCTTACATCGCTTTTGTATTAAGGTGAATTTAACTGTAATGCATGGTTTGAAGAACTCAATTTTGTAACTCTAAAACTTTGACCCCTTCTCCCCTTTGCCAACACAAAAGGTTCTTTACTTTTTCAAATATATTGTTGGATCATATTTATTATTCAATATCTATCTCGGGCTGATCTGAGGTTCCAGAAAGAGTCATTTAACAATTTGTCTAACTTGTTGAGTTACTAGCCTTTTGTTAAGTTTAACTATCTTTCGACTTTCCAGGATCATATTGTTAGATTGAATAAAGAAAATGGCTCATTAAAACAGAATTTGGATACAAGTCCCGTGTCTGCAAATGGCGGTTACAGAGTCAAGGTAATCCTATATTTTAATTCAAACTTTATTATGTTGTATCAGAATATTTTAGCCTGTGTTGTTAGTACTCCATTACATTTGATCTCTTGTATTTCATGATTTTCTAATGAAGTTTAGATAGTGAAAAGGACAAAGGTATTGAATGGATTACATTTTCTGGTTAGAAAAACTCAACCACCTTTTAGATTGTTGGTTATCAATTATAATTCTTGACACATGGTTAGGTCATACCTTACATCTCTTCTTGTTCTAGAGACAACTAATTTGAGTGATTCATACCAATTACGTTTATCTCTGATCACACATGGATATGGTATTACTTGAACTATAGGATATGTGTGTGTACTGTTACTAACTACATTAAAATAATATTTTGTCAATAAAACATACATGATTAAGAAGATATGGTTGTGTTGTGTATAATTATTGAAACCATACTTAGGATTTTGTAATCTGTACTAGTTTGTAATGTATGGAGTTTGGCCAAATTTAACCAATTGGGTTACTCCTTCCTCACTAGACTTGTGAAATGATATGAATGTTATATTCTTTAGTAGCTGTTTGAAACTGAGTCTTAGATGTTGAGAATTCTATGAAAGTCTAATACAACAATGTTCAGATTCATGCATAGCTTATGTACTTAGGGAGTTGCATTTATATTTACTGTTCTTAAATATAATTAAGTCTGGAAAATGTATAAATATTTCCTATTCAGAGTGCTCTTTCACTCAATCAATTCATCAAAACATTTAGTCTTCAACTTGGTATGAGATCAAGTTCTATAGGATTATCTATGCGTGATAAAAATAGAGGACAGTTGCTCAGCAGGAGCTTATTTTGGGATGTTGTTGGGTGTACATTTTTGCAGAACTATCATTAGAAACCTTGTACGTGCCATTCCAGTTCAATAAACTTATGGTAGAGTAAATAACCACTTTAGCCCTCAATTTGGAACGTCTTGTCACATTTGTGTTCTAATTGAAGAAAATTACAAATGAAAGTCCTTGAAAGTGTAAATTGACTGATGCGTTAATCTAAAATTAAAAAAAGAAGTGACTAGAGCGAAATATTGACATATTTAGAGACTAAAATGAGAAAAGGTTTTTGAAAGTGTAAATACACTGTCACGGTAGTCCAAAAAAAAAAGCGACTAAAGTGATAATATTAACATTTATTTAGAGACTAAACTAGAAATAGTTAAGTTTGGGGACTATTTATCAGAGTTATTTAACATTTTCTTAAGTTCAAGAACTAATGTGACAGCACTACCAGTTTCAAAGATAAAGTGGTTGTTCACTCTTGATTGTTTCTTGTAGCGCTGCTGATTCAAGATTCTCAACATAACTAACAGTTCTTGTTGATTGCTTTTGAATATTTGTGAAGGGAAATAGTGACCTGTCATCCAATCGACAGCAATCTCAAATGAAAAATCTTTATGCTACAAACAATGGAACCACATCTGCTTTGGAATCCGATGGTATTCAAACCAAGATGGTATCTAAGCACTCAATCTCACGAGTAAAGGACAAGGTAACTACATCTTAGATTTTTTTTGTTACTCTCAAATCGTGAACCTATGTAGATAGATTTATCATTTGGTGGATTGCATTTATATTACTCGTCTATTTTGATCAATTTTTTGTCAAATTGTATATTCGTTTCTCATGGAGTCATTATGAACATTTTAAGAACAAAGAAAATCAGTTTTTGTTTGCTTTTGTAATTTTTTAACTTGCCATTTCAATTTAAACTTTTTGATAGAATTTATATGTTTATTTTTAGTGATGAGTTAACTTGACAACAGATGTATGAATGCCTTCTAGGAGCTAGCAGATATGGTAGAGGGAAAAAGTAGCCCAGCAGCAGCAGTACAACATTCCGCTGATATACATAAAATGAAGTTGGAACTAGAGCAAGAACAGAATAAAATGGCACATATTCAGCTTAAATTACCGGGTCATTATTCTGCATTTAGAATATATATATATATATATAATATATAGATATATATATATATATACATATATATATATATATGTGTGTGTGTGTGTTTGTGTGTGAGTGTGTGTTCTATTATCGTTATGTTCGTCTAGATAGAAACTGCTAATAAGTTGGATGTTTCTTTGATTTCAGAGGAAGAAAAATTGAACAAGTCATTCCAAGAGGAGCTTAAATTATTAAAGTTGGAAAGAGACAAAGTGAGTCTATCCAAGCAAAATTAATTTGATTAAATATTATTTTATTTCTATAAGAATCTGGCATTAATGTTTTTGCACCATAATAAAAGGGAAAATGAATAGATAATATTTTTTAAAAGTAAAATAAGATACCAGCCATGCGTTAACTTCTTTTTACTCACCATTCATAACTATATTGATTACTTTATGGTAGTTTTTTTGGTCTTCAAACTGAAATATGTTGAAATTTACTTCCTAGATTTGGTGTTTCGATATTCTTTTGTCTCTAATATACTGGTAGTTTTATTTATTTTCTGATTATATAGCATTTTATATTTCATATTTTTTTAATATATCTACCATTGGCCACAATTCCATCTGCCATATATGTATGGAAAACTTTGGGCTCAGAGTCATAAGCTGTCATCCACAATTCATAACAGTGCTTTGATTGTGAATGGTAATTGGTATAAGATCAAGAGGAATTCTTGGAAGAAAATCAAAGACTGATTTGATAAGGACAAAATGAAAAAATATATTTTTAAATAAAACATTTTCTAGATTCATGAGAACTATGGGAGTGGAAATTAAACGAGAACATGGGTCAAATTTTTCCAATGAATTCTATTCTCTGTTCCTCTATTTCTTTAGAAATTATTTATCTAAGAGAATAACTTGAACACATTATTTTTACATTAATAACTTCCATTTCATCATTGATAGCATATCATGTCTTCTCTAGTAACCTGGATGTTGGTTTTGTTGTACTATGGAATATGATAAGCTGGACTATTATTGTTTTTGGTTATCTAACCAATACATGTATTGTATTGTTGCTTGGCAGACAACATATGAGATGAGCAAATTACACAATGAATTGAATGGGAAAATATCAGAAATTAATCGTCTGCAAATGGAATTGAGTAGACAGGAAGATGAAGAAACAAGTGACTTGGATAGCTTCAAGAGAATGATTGAATCTTTGGAGAAGGAAAACACTACTCTTAAGGTTAGTAAATTTATGCATTAATTTTTTTTTAATAATAAGAAAGAACCAACTGTCCTATCACTCAGTACTTCATAATGTCTGTTTGCTGGTATTGTGCTCGAGAATGCACTTTAATATATTCTATCTTATTGTTATTAGTTGGAAAAGGATGAACTTGAGGCTGAGGTCAAATCAATTAGGACTTCTGGTAAAATATCACCTGATGCTTCTCAGATTCAGAAAAGGATCCCAAGCTTTAACAATCATGTGAGCCAAAACTTAATAGCTATTTCTACTTTACAGGTTATATGGCTTATGAATCATGCTAGTAACTGTTTGACTTTTTTTTTTTCTGGTGTTTTGGAAATTGGTTTTTTGGTAGCAGTTACCCGATCCTTCCAAAAGTTTTCCAAGGAATGAAGAGTTGGAAAGATCCTTACATAAGCTAAGTGAAGAACTGGAGGAAACACAAAAGGGGAATGAAGAGTTGGAAAGATCCTTACTTAAGCTAAGTAAAGAATTGGAGGAATCACAAAAGGAGAGGGACAAAGCAGTGCAACAATTGACCCGTCTTAAACAGCATTTGTTAGAAAAGGTTTCGTTTTCACTTTATATTTTTGAAGCAAAATCAATCATGATTGAGCATGACTTAAAGGGACAAACAATGTGCTGTTTTTTATAAAAATTTTGTTGTTATTCTCAAAATATATTCTCCCACTTGTATTATATTTTGTCTCCTCAATTGAGTCATCATGAATTGCATTTGTTAGAAAGATTTCATTTCACTTTATTGTTTTGAAGCGCAATCAGTATTGTTTTAGCATGATTTAAAGGGACAAACAATGCACTGACTTTCATAAAAAAGATTGTTGTTATTCTCAAAATATAGACTACCGCTTGTATTATACTTTGTCCCCTCAGTTATCTACATTGAACTTCATTCATCCATCTCTACTGAATTTAATATATTAATCTCTCTGTGGTACACTCAAAGATGTTCACCATCTAGCTTTTTGTTTAGGAATCTGAAGATTCCGAAAAAATGGACGAGGATAGCAAAATAATTGAAGAACTTCGTGATAGCAATAATTATTTAAGGGCTCAAATATCTCAACTTGAGAGAACTCTAAAACAGGGAAGTGCGAGTCAGGAGAAACTGAAGATGGAAAATGACAATGAAATTCTCAAATCCAGGGAAATCATTGATGACCTGAACAAGAAGCTGACTGACTGTATGAGCACATTAGATGCTAAGAATACAGAACTTCTAAACCTACAGACAGCTCTTGGACAATATTATGCCGAAATTGAAGCTAAGGTTAATTTTAATTTTGTATTTAGAAATTAATAATATGCATTGATTAAGTTGTCAACATTCCTTCGTATTTTTTTAGCTAGTATCTTTTCGTGTGCGTGTCTGTCTTTTGTTGTACAGAGTAAGCTTATATTCACTATAAATTTATTTTCTGAAGGAACATTTAGAAGGAGATCTGGCTCGTGCAAAGGAAGAAAACTCTAAGCTTTCTCTACTGTTGAAAGTATGAATCTCTCTCTCATACAGTTTATTAGTATAACTTTTTGACAACCCACTCTTTAAGAATTAAACATAACAGAATTCGGCCCTTTATATTGATGATTTTATAACAATAAAAGAATATGATTCTCTTTGCTGAATTTGCAGCACTAGACCCTATTATTCCCCCAAAATTTTGCTGCAGTGTACTGATGTTTTATCATGTTTTCTGACTCAAAGTTAACTTATTGGTGTTTCCAATTGCCAGGATGCACAATGCAGAGCAGATGTCTTGATCAGTGAAAAAGAAGAAATTTTAGCTAAGCTTTCTCAATCTGAAAAGCTACAATCAGAATGGAGAAGTAGAGTAAGCAAGCTCGAAGAAGACAATTCCAGGTTGAGGCGAGCGGTTGAACATAGTATGACAAGGCTAAATAGAATGTCAGTGGATTCAGATTTTCTTGTTGACAGGTTGGCATGTTTTTCAACTAAGTAGTTTTTTCGTGCTATATTGGCTTGGCCTTGGGAGCTTCCATTTTTTCTAGTTTGTTAGGTTCCAATACTTGAAAATGTTTTATGCTAATTATATGCCTTCTGCTTTTATTAATCTTAATTGTATTTTTGACAGGCGCATTGTGATAAAATTACTTGTTACTTATTTTCAGAGAAACCACAGCAAAGAGGTAAGGAAGTTTTCTAATTTGTTTGCTCTTTCTATGTATGTATACATGTATGTACGTACCTACGTATGTATGTATGTGTGTATCATTAAGGGCCGCCCATTCCTTTGTGTTGTACATAATAAAGTCATATTGGGGACAGGTTTTAGATCTAATGGTTCGCATGCTGGGATTCTCTAATGAGGACAAACAAAGAATAGGTGTTGCTCAACAAGGTCCAGGAAAAGGTGTTGTCCGCGGTGTTCTTGGGTTGCCTGGACGCCTAGTTGGAGGTATCTTGGGAGGTGGTGGTTCCACTGAATCAGCTGCAAATGCGGGAGCAGATAACCAGGTGATTTCTTATCATCTTGTGTTTATTTATATGTGGGGTTTGTCAGAATAGAATATCTTAAAAGCTACACAAAAGCTAGCTGTAGGTAGAAAGTCGAGGGCCTTAAACCCTACTGAATCCCATTCTTGCAATTGGATCCTATCAAAATATTGAGGGTGACTTTTCTTCGTTTTCTTTCCTTTTTGGGATTGCTGAATGCCGGGAAGAAAAGAATGGTGTTATATAGCAGATGTCTTTATGCATGTCATTCCTTCGTCCAAAACATCTACCGAAATTTTTTTTTCCAAAATCTCCAGTCCATTATAGATCTGGTCACATTTGACGCAATTTGCTTTGAATTTGAATTTGAATTGTACAGTTTCCCTTTCAGTCCTTTGCAGATCTGTGGGTTGATTTTCTTCTCAAGGAAACAGAAGAAAGAGAGAAGAGGGAGTCAGCAGGAACTACAGATAAGTCCATGGATGATTCGCATGATAGAAGTTATACTAATTCTTCTCCACCACATTCCAATCAAAGCTTTAGGACTGGAACAGTACCAATGAGCTCATCCACTAATCAAAACATCAGTTCTCTTCCTCGTGGATACTTTCAGAAGCACTCCGAACAACTTGGTTCCGAGTTCTCAACAGTTCCCCTTACATCTTCATCAGATAGTTCAAAACTTCTTCCCAGATACTAAGTATACATTCTTTATGTAATTAATCAAAAGGTATAGATCAATGATAAATTGTAGACATGTAATCTTGTTCAATTAATTCCTTCATTTCATTGCCCCCGTTCTCTTGTCTGAATATTATTGCATATCTTGAAACGCTTTAACCTTGCAAAATATGTCGTCAAATATCACTCCCTTTTCTCGAAAACACCTATGAGCAATGCTTACAACCCTACGTGCCTACTCTTTTGTTCGTTGTCTTTTTTTTTTCCTTTACGGTGTATTCAATGAGAGTAATTCATTTATTTTATAAATTTAGAATTTTTTAGAGTAAAATAAGTTGTCTGAATCAAAATAATTGAATGAAAGTTTAAAATTTCAAGAAATTTTATAAAATATTTTAAATAACTAAACCAATAAAATTTGAAATTTACTAAAAGAAATTGACATTTTACTTCCAATCACTTTTCCTTAATATATATTTATATATACACGAAAAAGAAATGTTATTTTAATATTTAAATTTGACTATCTTTTTTAAGATATTTTAATTACTTTATAAACATAAAAATTAAAAAGAAAATAACAAGTGATTCAAGTTTTTTTTGGGAAGGTTGAAATCCTCGGCCTAAATACGGAGTTAATTTCTCCTATTCTGTAATCCTATGGCGTATGAGGTTAAAAAAATATTATCTTCTTAAAGTATATAGTCTAAATTGCTACTTTAATAAGTTTTTATATAAAGAGTATCAATTTGGATTTGAATGATATCGTCCTGAAATTAACTAAAGTTAGGACGATGAGTTAGTGGAAAAAATCTTAGTAAAAGATATTGTAGAATGTATTGACTTTATCGATAAACGAACAACAATTTCATTTACAATCTGCGCTCGCAATTTTGCAACAGTAGAATATGTTCAAACGAACACAATTCAAGACAGAAGCGACAACGATAAAAGCTTTATCGTTGAAGCCTCTAACCAAAGAGCTGCAGCTGTAAAACCAAGTTGGCACCATTTAGTACGAGAGAAGGGTCCCAACATCTCCCTTTGTGTTCTTCCTACAAATCCTCTTGGAAGAAGGCTGAAGCATTGCCATTTTCTAAATCCTTTTGAGAAAAAGAAACCAGCGAAGGAGATTGAGGGGTGGTGTGGGGGCAAAAAGAGGAAATAGATGAAAGATGAAAAAAACTCAAAAAAAAAACAAAAAATAAAGGAAAACTAAAAAGAAAATAAAAATTTGAAATATTGACATGTATCATCACTAAGAAAAGCATGGTGAGATTTTAAATAAAATTGGAATTAAATTAAATTAAAAAGTATTAAATATTTACCTTCCAAAAAGTAAATTTACCTTCCAAAAAGTAAATTACTAATTAAATCTGTTTTTTATTGTTTAAATGTTGAAGTACTCTTACAAATTTTGTATTATTATTATTTTAGTCATTTGTGTTGATAATCAATGTAGTAGATTTATGAGATATTTTATTTGTGGTATAAGTAAATATTTATTTTTATTTATAAGAACGTAGCAGTATTGATGATGAAAAGTTGAAGTTTTTTATGTTTGTTTAAAGGATTGATTTGAAGGCGAGGATGAAACGAAGTGACAGCCTTATCACCATCGATGCGACGATGGCAGTTATCTATCCAATTATTGATTCAACGCTTCAAATCCTCTTTCAACTTTCCATGATATGATACACCATACTGTATAAATTCATTTTTACAATTATTTTGAAAATGGTCGTCTATTGTTATCACACTTCTAACTATATTATTATTTCATTACTTTGTCATATAATTTTTGACGGTTTCTTCGTGTCTATTGGGAATCTTATGATTCTTTGTAGCCTTTTATTGAGCCATCTTCATAGGATTCTCGGAACTATTTTCTTCAAATATATTCATTTTTCTTCCCTATTTATCAATGCTCAAATATTGATGCGATTAATGTTGACATATATACAACCACCCAATCATAAAAAACAATCCACACAAAAGTGAGAAGAAATACAAACACTTTACCAAAATGTTCATCATTTGACTATGCTGTGTAGATGAGAACCGATTATAGATGATATAAGAATTGATTTTAATACCGTGATTCTAGAACTGCTATTATATTATATTGTTTTGGAATGAACGGAGAAGAATATTTTTTCTCCCTCCGAATCGATTCTCCTCCCTATGCATATGGGTACTTTTAACTCATACGTATATTTAGGTCATAGTTTTAGGCTTTAATAATAATAATAATAATTTCCATCTCTAACTTTTTAAATTAGAATTTCATTTTTTATCTTAACATAATTTTCACTACTTCCGTTTAAATTTATATCATATTTATTTTTAGTAATCAAATGATAATCATCTAATTTTATCTAATAAAATATTATTTTTAATCTCTTATATTCATCACATAATATACAAACTTTTATCAGCTTTCATCTCAAACCAGACCATCTTTCCCCTAATCCAAACAATCTCATCTTCACCTCCAAATTCATCCCCCAATCCAAACACAGCATTACATTTTTTTGCCAAATCAATCCATATTTAGTATAGACCAACACTACTATATTTAGTATTCCAGAAAATTTGCGTACACTAAACATATACGCCCCCAAATACATATCATACATAACATGCCATTTACCGGTTCAACAACAAGAACAGTGTTTTTAGAAAAAAAATATAACCGATCTGATTCTTAAATTCTGGTCTGCATTTTAGAAGCCTGTCAACACAACACCAAAACCACAGAAGGCAACGAATGCTACCAAAAATAAAAAGTAAAAAGGCGATAATGCACAAGACATACATTTTATCTTACAGTACAAATTATTGTATTGAACAACTCATACAAACCTTCAACAACAAAAACCCCAGTAAAATCCATGAGCTTGCACAGTTAGAAACTACTGAGAATTACTATTTTTTAAGATAAATCAGACCCATTGCCATTGACACCATACCAGCCTAAAACCAACCCAGAAAAAAATCAAAGACTGACATTTGATAAAAGAAACTGGCCCTGGCAACTTCCTTGACCAAATAAGTGGAGCTCTTTCTTTGTGATGTTACAAAGATTAACTCACTAAGATAACTTAGCTTTTAAAGAACCCACTGGGATCTTACTCAAGACCTTAGCATCAAACACAGCATACTGCTTTTTAATCTCAATAACTGCCTTCTCTGCAAGTGGATCTATCTTATCCTCGTACTTCTCGTATATCACAGGAGCCGTGTGCAACAAGATAAAAGCTGCACATGTAATCAAGAATATGTAAATGAACGAAGTTCCATACAATCTTTTGTCATAAAATTATCTTGTTAAAAGGAATACTACTTACTTATGTAGAAGAGGGTCAAGAAGTTGCACCAGTTCCCCACAATTGATAGAATCCAAACGCCAGCAATAACCTGACTCCACAAAGAAGCAGTAAATTAGGTACCCATTTATCTATCAATTAAAGGAAAGCAGCTTGCAAGAAAGTAAGAAGCGGTACCACTTTAGAAAGTTATAAATAACTGACCCAAAACTTGAGACATTATTTATGACAAACTTTTTTTTAATGTGTACATAATGATGACAATTGGTTATGAAGTCACACACCATTAGGAATTTCTTCAAATCTCTTCCAGAACCAATACTATGCAAAACAGCAAATCCCCTGTTGATTTCAATCCTCAACGCGGATGCCACTTGCAGGAATGGCTCCTCGGGAAGATGAACTTCTGGAATGCGAGGTGGTGATCTGCAATACATAATTTGACATTCCACACAACAGCTTAAATAAGGTAAACCCCAAACATAAGACAACATACTAAGAAATTCCAGAGGCTCACTTGTGAATAAAAGTATGGGCATTGGACCACAAGAACAGAACTGCGAGCAACAGTATCAAAATGTGACACACCAGAGTAAGAAAGTGATACTCAAGCAACTCAAACAGGACCCAAACAGCAGTGGCTCCGCCAAGCACGCCAGCAGATATCTTCTTGTTCCTCCACAATAACAAGTCAGCAGCTGCAAAAGGTAATCGAAAAAGAGTCGTGAGATAATAACATCATAGACTGATACAGCTTTGGTTCTCTCCTATATAAAACCACACACAAGAACATATAATTCTCCATTCAATGACTAGTCATCACCAAACAAACAACTCCAGTAAATATGACAAACGCAGCCCTAGTGAATTTCATAACACAAGCTGTATATCATCATCCAAACCATGACTGCTGCTAAATTCAACTTGCCTAAAATTAAAAACCACCTGAAAACAGAATATATAATAAACCAGAAACAGGGAAAGGTCGCCAACATTAAAAGAAAAAAAAAACAATTTTGAGAAAACCCAGTTAACTTAAGAAAGTAACCAAGAGAAGCACAATATATTATTCCACATTTAGGTAACCCCGGTCAACGATAAGCTACACGAAGCAAGGTAAGGCCAAGTCACAACATTCCCAAATTGTAGCTTTTCTCAAAACGCAATAAAACGACGACCACAATAAGTAGGAGAAGGAAAAGAATATAATTTTACGTTTTCCGGCGCCCAACACGGAATGAACGGGCCTCTGCCTACCGAAGAGGCGGAAAATCTTATCCTTAACGGACGAAGTGACGGTTTTTTCGGAATCCGAATCGGAAGAGGACGAGGAATCGTGACGGTGAAGCTTCTCGCTTATCTTATCCAGCAACGATTGGTCGGCTTCGGCGCCAGTGGTGACGGTGCTTTCCGGTTCCTCAGCCATAAAGCCGAAATTTTTTCAAAAGAACTCTAACCCTAATGCGTCGATATCGAAGCACGGAATGGAAGAAAGTCCCTTCTCTCTTTGGTTACAGTTGTTGCAGTGAGTGAGAGTAGGGTTGGAGAGTGCGAATCTCAGTATGGCTTTTATAAGTGTCGCAAGCATCGAGGTTCGTCGGTCCGAACCTCAGGCTCGGTGAGATTTGAATCGAAATAGGAAATGACGGCGTTTGAATTAGGTATGACAGTAACGAGGACCTCAACTCCCAAGTGATTTCTTTTTTTCTGAAATATACATTTTCTATTAAAAATAATGGTAAAATTTAATTTTTTAATTTGATAAATAAACTAGGGAAA